GAATAGGTACTGCGCAACTGTTAAATAAAAACCATCTTTATTTGATAAACTATTGCCTTGTGATTGATCCCAGCGTCACGTAGTTAACGGAATTGTTGCGCGTGAAGTAACCATTGAGGACGCAAGATCGACAGACTGATCTGCGTCAACATTACAAACTCTGGCCAAATTCACACGCCTCTTTTGAGCAGAAACCACCCTGATCGTTACACGGCGTGAGACAGATCGAAGCGACTGACTTGCCGTGATTTCACCACAACAGTAGTTAATACCAGTATAGAATTTTACAAATAATATATTAGTATCTGGAATATTTAATAAAATAAAATGAGATAATCAGGAATTTTAGTTATTTTTGCAAACAGAGCTAATATTAATAACAAAAGTTCTTTACTTACTTCTTGACAATATAGTTTTATATATATGATTAAGTAATAATGTTTTTAAAAATTTTTATATAATTTTATCTATTGGCCATTTTCACCATACTTGAAAAATAAATATATCAAATTCTTTATATGACTTGAAAGTCAACTTGTAAAAAGTGGCTGCAGTACTGTACCTTTATGCATAAAAAATCAACTCTTTTCTTTTTTACTTTGCCTGTTATACATCAAGTCAACTTTGAAAAGCAAGTATGCCAAATCCTACTTATAACTTAAAAACAAACTTGTATATTTGACTAAAATACTTTTATATAATTGAATATTATAAATTTTCTAATTTTCTACTAGGTATTACTCAAGATATATAGATTTTAAAAATCTTTTTGTTACTGTTTGAATGGTTATTGAAAAAAAAATTAAAATAAGTAAATTATTTTTTTAAGTATTGCATTAGACTTTTTTTAGTAAAAAGAGATATATGTTAGCTTTTATATATTTGTAATATTACCAGTAATAAGTAATTTCTTATAAATAAAAGTTTGGTTAATAACTGGTTTATTTTTTAAATAAAAAATTTAAAAGAATTTTTTTTAAATATTATTAAAATTTACTTTATAAAATAATTTTATAATTTATTTTTTTATATATTAAATTTATTTAAATTTTCTAATAAAACTATTTAAGACTTGTAGATAAAGATAGATTCCTAAATTAAAGGTAAGAATATAATTCAAATGTTTTTTACTATTAAAAAAGTTTTTTTTTAAATATAAGGTCAAAAAAAAATATCCAAAAAGATTTTTTACAATTTAGATTATTTGATTTAAGTGTTTTTTGAATTATATTCTTATTAAAATAATAAATAAATAATTATATATCTTTAAAAAGAATATAATTAATCTGTAAAATTTTATATACTAAATAATTTAAAAACTTATTCTTACTTGTGAATCTATAATCTGTAAAAAGTATTATTTTTTATAAAAAGCCATTTCATACACTAATCCAGTAGGCATTAAAATTGTGATTTCCAGAAAAGATATTATGATGTAACAATTATCCAGTTGGTATTATAATAATTGTTAGAAGTTGTAAAGTGTATAAAGTATCTACTTTTAGTAAGATGATTTAGTAATTGTTTCTTTGTAATATCTAGTATCTCTTCCTGCAAGTTTTTAAAAAAACCTTAAATCAATTTAATAATAGATTACTCTAACAGTTACTTATTTTAAGAAGGCAACCAAAACAGTAGTAAGTATTGATAGTTGAATCAATTTATAGGCAGTAAGTTTGTAAGATAAGTTTCTTGAATATTTTTGGATAGCTCTAAAAAGATGGAAATTAAATGATACGCTTATCTGCAAATAGTTGAATTTAGAAGAATTTTTTCTACTGAAGTTCTATTCATTTAATAGGTAATACTTTCAGTTTCTTTTTTTTATACTTCTTCTTAATATATTTCTGGTTAAAAATAGAATTTAGTATACAATAACAACACTAATAAAGCTTTAATATATTGGTTTTGATATATATAAATCTTCAGATCTAATAGTCAATAATAATAAGCTAACATAGGAGTAAAATCTAATGTAGTTTAGCAATATCTAGAATAGTTCATAGATGGTTTCTTTTTATAATACATGATGTAAAATATATGGAATTAAATAAAATATATTAAGTAAAATCCTATTACTTTTTTTTTTATTGCAAATAGATATTATTAAATATATATATGACTTTATTTAATTATAAATCATAATTAATATATTAACAATTTTTATAAAAAATAAATTAATTATAATTTATTATAACTAATTATTAATACGTATTAAAAAATATTAAAAAAGTAAGTTTATACTAATAATACAAAACCTTATTGTTTAAAAAATTTTTTTTTATAATAATACTAATTATTTAATTATTATTTTATATTTTTTTAGTATACAAAAAATCCTTTTAAATGCTTTTATTATATTTTTTTTCTCTAAATATACAATCAAACTTGATTTCAAATATATAAAACTCTTTAATAAATCCTCATCATAAATACATATGTTTTTATAGTTCCGAAAAAATGCATTTAAAGATAATTAACTGTATTTTCAAAATATATTTTATATTTTTATTAAATAAAAAAATATTTAATATAATAAAAAATTTTAATTCTTTCTTAAACGTATTCTCAAGTATGGTTCTAAATTATATAGAACACTTAACAAAAATAGCCTTACACTATATTTTTTTTTTACCATGGTTCTAAGGAAGGTACACTTAAGTTTTTCTATATATAATATAAAAATAAATATGTGTTCAAGAATTTAAAATGTACTCTAAAAAAAAAAAAACGCTTACAAAACATAAATATTGACTTGCCTCTTTCTTCATATATACAATGTAATTATGCGAACAAATTTTTCGTCAAAAATATTACCTACAGAGTAAGCTGCAAATTGTCTGAAATATTGAACAGCAAGTAATGTTACTTTAATCCTTGCGACCAACCTCATGCAACTAGTAACGAAGACTTGATGCATTCGGAGGTCGCACCCAAAGAATAAAGCAGCCTTTGTTCTCCAATTCTCTAACGACTTTGTTCGTCAATGATAAATAATCGCGAGAAAATTTATCTGATGAAAAAGTGCTTTTATCAGAATTGTGAATATTTTGCGTTGTGATGAGTTTGGCAGTTCATCGAATGGATGTGGTATAGATCGTAGCTACACAGAAAATTATGGGATCTTTTTGTATAAATAACTGTTTATACCATTTTAGTTTACAATCGCGTTATTAACATATATTAATTATATTCTTGTCAAAGAGACTTGAGATTTTGCAAATGTCGACCGGAAAGCGTACTCGCAGAACCGTGTATTCAGATAGTGATGCCGAAGAAACGGCGGCAGCTAAACAGGTGAATTCTTGAACGTAATGACGCGTCGGAGGATAACTCCGTGTTACGCATCTTTACTAGTTTGCCTACACGTTATAGCGGGCAATGAGAGAAAAAAATAATAATTTTCTGTTCCCAGTTAAGACTTCAAAAAGGGTTTCTTAACTTTTTTTTCGTTAACATAGAAGGAAACAAGAGCAAATTCAAAGAGGGCGCGTCGTTCCGTAACTGAAGAAATCGATGAGTTTCCTGATGATATGAACGTGGAAGATGAAGATTTTGAGGAGGAGTTCGATAAGGAAGCAGCAGAAGAATTAGAAAAGATTAGGTTAAGACGAAGAAGTTCCGCAGGGGTTAGTTTTATGCGCTTGACTTACACTTTAAAAGCTAGTACTCACTTCTCTTTCTTATGCACGCAAACATAATGAAGGCTACTGCAGAATCGGGTGTAATTGAGTCTATCGAACTGGTCAACTTCATGTGTCACAAGTTTCTTAAAGTTGCTTTTGGACCTAAAATTAATTTCATCATCGGACACAACGGAAGTATGTATGTTACATCTAGAGACTGAATAATCATTTTTATGATTTCGCATTGAAAAATATTTACTGTCGTATTTTGCAGGTGGTAAAAGTGCCATCCTAACAGGAATCACAGTTTGCCTTGGCGGTAAAGCTAACGTCACTAATCGTGCGTCAAATTTAAAGTCCCTTATTCGAGAAGGAGCAAGGTATCTTTAAATATTTTTAATTTACATTACTTTTCTAAAAGACAAGTTTGAGGTAACTATTGGTTGATGTTCTTCAAGTGTTGGACAAGTAACGTTGAAGTTGCGCAATCGTGGAGCAGATGCATATCGACCTGAAACGTATGGTGATTCGATTATTATTGAACGTAGAATTAGTCATGACGGAAGCAATGGATATAAAATTAAAACTCATGAAGGAAAGCTTGTTTCTGGAAAAAGAGACGAGTTGAATGCCATATTGGATCACATGGCAATTCAAGTGGACAACCCCTTGAACGTATTATCACAAGATACAGCGCGTCAATTTTTACAATCTTCGAGTTCTGAAGATAAATATAAGGTCTTTATTTCCGCAAATTGATTATTTAACGACCTCTTTTGTTTCAAAGACTAATCTCGATTCTTGTAATGACAGTTTTTTATGAAAGGAACGCAGCTGACCCAATTGAGTGAAGATTATGAACTTATAAGAGAAAGTATTGAAATAACACTAAACATAATTAAACATAAAAAAGAGGTGCTACCCGACTTACACAAACAAGCAAAGGAAGCCGAAGCCAGATATCAGGACATACAGAAAGCACGGGAGCTTGGACTTAGAGTATCATCATTAAAGGATCAGATGGCATGGGCACAAGTTGAGGAAAAAGAGAAGGTTTGTACAAAAGTTTTTTCAAGTTAATTAATAACTATTAACGAAGATCCTTTTTGATTTGAAATAAACAGGAGGTTTCCGCTGCTGAAGCTGACTTGAAAAAAGCAAAAAAACGAGTCCTTACTGTGCAAAAAAACCTTGAAAAAGAGCAAGTTCGTTCTTCTTTTAATTAAGAACAAGTTTTTATTTGCTTTTAAAGATATTTAATACTATAATTCTATGAGTATAGGCACAATTGGACGATATAAATGCCGCCATATCCACGTTGGAAGAGCAATATAATGAACATGTAGGAATTACTAAACCGCTGCAGGATCGCAAAAAAGAATTAAATAAGATAATTAAGGAGAATGCTGATCAGTTACGCGAGATTTCAGTATGTCTGTTATAATTTAGTTCATCATCATCAATTAACAATGTTATTTAATAATAATGTTTATGAAACTTGTAGACGGACGAAAGGGACGTCAACGATAACATCATAAATTTAAAAAAATCAATAGAAAAATATCAAGAGAAGATAAATGAAGAAGCTCTTAAGCTAAGAGAAGACAACCGTCAAAAGCGAGATGACATTTTAAATGCCATAAGAGTAAGGGAAGAAGAGATCAACAGAATAACTTGTAGAAATCGTGAATTACAAACAAGATTAGAAAATTTGCATGATAAAAAAGAACACATTCGTAATGAGAGGCGTTCCATGGAAATTCGTGCTCGTAGCACCCGCGAGGAAATCGAACGATACGAAAATCTTAAGCAACAACTGATTGATCAGAAAAGCAATCATCTGAGAGTCTTTGGATCTTCTATACCTGAAGTACTCGAGGCTATTGATCGTTTCAATCATTGGAAGAAGAAGCCTGTGGGACCTTTTGGAAGATATATTAAATTATTAAAGCCAAAATGGAGTAATACTTTGGAGTCTGTGATCGGTAACTCGCTAACAGCTTTTTCTGTTCAAGATTATCATGATCAACAAGTGTTATCGAAGATAATGGCTGACTTTAAATGGTGAGGTTGATTTTCTTCTACGAGGTTGCCTTAAATTCCATTATTATAATAACACCTTTTAAAAAAAAAATAGTAATTCACCTATTATTGTTGGCGAATATGATAAATTTGACTATTCTTCCGGAGAGCCTTCCGATGAATTTTTGACAATTCTTCGAGTTCTACAGGTATGCCGTAACCATAAAAAATTTTGCGTCATGTTTTTAAGTTCCAAAAGCCTCATTCTTTTTTAATTAATATATTAGATTGACGATGAAAACATAAAAAGGCAACTTATTAATCAATATCGTATAGAATCCATCATACTTGTTGAACGGAGAGATGAAGCTGACAAAATAATGCACAATAGCGGAAGAGGGTTTCCTCATAATGTGGACGGATGTTATACGATGGACGGATATAAAGTTGGGCACAGGTAAGCTATTCAACTGTTGCTGATAGTTTTGTGCTTAATTGAGTTTTCTAATTGTGACTTAATGAATGAATATAGAGGTGGCGGTTTTTTAACTCAGTCGATAAGAGCATATAGAGGACCAGCAAGGTTTACGCCTGATGTTGACAGTCAGATCAGGTATTAAAGACAGTGACAGTTTTAGGGATGCGCAACTAATATCCGATTACAAAGCTCAACCAATATTGAATATTTGTCATTACTTAGAGATGCTGAAAGAATGCGTAAGGAAGCATCTACTATGCATTTTCGATATGTCTCTGAGCTGGAAAAGGCTGATCAGGAACTAAAAAATGTGCAAGTCGAACAACAAAAGATACATGTAATATTTTATTGTCTTAATTTTAGGTAGCAGTATATTTGAATACGTTCTTGATGATTTATATTTTACATAGGCCGAAATCGCAGAGAATCAACATCAGGGAAGAAGTCTGAATGAGGAGATTATTCAATATAAAGAAAAATTACAGGTTTATTTCGCAAACTATGTTGTATACTGTTATAATGTGGTCTTATTCACCATTTTTATTTAACATGGACATAGGAAGATGAATCTGCTAGTATCACGGCTTTAGAAGATGCAATACAAGTATATATGCCTGAATCATACTTTCTTCGATTAATAGAATATTTTTTTCTTATATATTATGTATGGAGCTAATAATTTACCTCATTTATGCATAACACAGGAGGCCGAACAACACATAAAAATGTCTAAGAAAAATTATGCAGCATTACAAGAGAACAAAGTCCGCATAAATCAAAGTCAATTACCGTTAGTGACTGAAATTGAGAAAGTGGGTAGACGCTTAATTTCGATGTCCGATGAATCGCGTGTCATCAATGTGAGTGATCTGTTATTATCTACTTATATTTACAGTCTATAACCATGATCTAACTTCTTAACTGAATCTTTTAAGGAACAACTGGAAGAACAAGTTGGTCTTCGAGTTACCCATGCTAACAATAAGGAACACTGGGTGAAAAAATTAGCAATAGAACAACAAAAAGTTGATGTTGTAGAAGAAGAACTCAGAAAGAGAAAGTGTGAACTTGAGGTAATTGCGCGATTCAATCATTAAGCTACATTCATTTAACTTACATTAAGTTACATTTCAAACTAGGACTGGACTAAACAAGCGGAAGATTATTGTCCTGAACGTGTGGAGGTAACAAAGTCAGCCCATGAATTGGATCGAGAAATAAAACAAATTCAAAATAGACTGCGTGAAAGAGAGAAGGAGTAAGTGGTGATCTAATTAATATTTGCCTAATTGTTAACTTGAATTTAAGTTAACTCAATTCTAATTGTTGTTTATCAGACAAGGATTTAGTCTAGAAGAAATTGCTTCAGACGTGACTGCTAAATGTGAATCATATCGGAGAGCGAAAAGAGAAATTGCACATATGGAACAATTTATCAAGGTAACCATATTATCTCCACACCGTATTGTGTAGACTTTTTCCATTCTCTGAATATGGATATGTGATTAATACAGGATCTCAAAGAAGCTTTGCAAACACGTATGAAAAAATGGAGAAATTTCCGTACTTATATCTCTATTCGTGCGAGGTGGCAATTTTTATTCCAGTTAACCAAGCGCGGCTATGCTGGAAAACTACTTTTTGACCATCCAAATAAGACGCTGAAGATCAGAGTAAGTTGTTCATATTTCGCTTCAGAATATTTAATCTTAACGCACGTACTGATGTTATAAGTTAAATAAATGTAATATATTCATTCTTGTTTTTAGGTTCAAGTTGATGAACAATTGAATCAAGGTTCTGATAAGGATCCTAAGTCATTATCCGGTGGAGAAAAATCGTTTTCTACTATATGTTTTCTTCTTTCTCTATGGGAGGCCATGGGATGCCCGATTCGGTGGTAATTACAAGATCATAATATATTTCCTACAATTTCTATTCACATTTTAAATTATTTTATTTATTTTTAGCCTTGATGAATTTGACGTCTTTATGGACGCCGTTAATCGTAGAATTAGCATGAAAATGATGGTAACTTAATAGATTTAATTTAAATACAAATTATTCAGAGATTATAACTCGTATCCTTTTTAGATTGAAACAGCAAGGGAATCGGATTGTACACAATATATTTTGATCACCCCTCAAGATGCTAGTAGCGTTTCTCCTGGACCTGACGTTCGCGTTCATCGATTGCAAGATCCAGAAAGAGGTCAAGGAATCATCGAACCTGAAGAGATGTGATCGAATTTTGCATGGGAAAAAGGTTGATCTTATCACAAACAAATTTAATTCTCTCATTTATGACAAGTAATTTTTACAGTGAACATTACGTAATATTACAGCTTGATGCTGTCGATCAATTTTATAGTCAATCAAATTAAATGATCCGTATATCAAATAATTGACATAATGAATGTATCAATTATTTTTGTCATTTTAAAAAATAATTTTGTTTTTATAATAAAATATTTGTATTCTAATATTTATAGTTTTTTTGAAAAATGAATTTCGGAACGATCGAAAATTCAACTTTGTTAAATGCAAATTTTAAAGATAACTTGAAAATTAATATCTGTTAATGATATATAATTTTTACTTATTTTTTTTTTCATAATCAAGCAAATATTTATTATGTTTATTTAATTTTTTATAATACATGATTTTTATACATAAACTCTTAAAATAGCTTTAGAGGATGAGCGGAAAATTTTAATATCTCAATTTTGAATCAAAATTATTGACTCAATGCCAAGAAGAATTAATGCCATTTAAAGGAATATACATTTCTATTTTTAGTTTTTTTATACACAACCCTTGAAATTGAATCCAATATGAATAAATAAAGTTAGTCTTTACTATGCATATCGTATCCCATATAGGTTCA